GTGATTAAGTGGCCTGAAAACTTCGGTTAACGAGGAGATGAAGAGATAAATGGGTAGATTGATGATTATAGGAGACAGAGAGAGGGGGGGGGGAGAGAGAATGATAGAATTAGGAGAGAGACGGAATAGGAGGATTTGTCGTTGTGATAAGAAAGGTGAGATAAGGAGGGAGGGAGAAAGGAGGGGGCGATAAATTAGGTGTGGGAGACAATGAGAGAGGATTTGGGAAGGGATGGAAGGCGAGGGAGAGGGAGAGAAAGAGAGAGAGAGAGAGAGAGAGAGAGAGAGAGAGAGAGAGAGAGAGAGAGAGAGAGAGAGAGAGAGAGAGAGAGAGAGAGAGAGAGAGAGAGAAAGAGAGAGAGAGGGAGAGATAGATAGATAGATAGATAGACAGATAGATAGAGAGAGGGGGGGAGAGCGAAATAGAGAGAGAGAAAGAGAGAGAGAGGGAGAGATAGATAGATAGATAGATAGATAGATAGATAGATAGATAGAGAGAGAGAGAGAGAGAAGTGAAAAGGAGAGGATGGAGAATGTATATATACATTTCTGGTTTGATATCATAACACTGCTATTGATTTATTTATTATTACTGCCTTTATTGTTGTTCCTAATACCATGGCGACGGTAGTACTAGTATTAGCATTTTTATTATCATTGCGATTGGCATTTTCATCATGATTGCTAATACAACTGCAATTGTATCATTATTATCTTTCTTTGGTGTACGTATCCTCATTACCATTACGATTGCCAGTTTCATTATCAGTACTTATATATATTTTCCTTAATTTTCTCATCCAACATTGTCCATTCTCTCTGTTGCTTTTGTCGACTTTAATCTTGAACTAAAGTTTTCCTCGCATATAAGTAAATATACACACACATGTATGTATAGCTATATATATGTATGTGTGTGTATGTATATATATATATATATATATATATATATATATATATATATATATATATATATATATATATATATATATGTACACACAAACAAAAAAAAACAGGGCGACAGTCATAAAATAAGAACAAAGCTTTGTGGTACTCTTGACAGGATGATCAAACGATAATAAAAAAGAAAAAAAAAAAAAAAAAAAAATCGTCAACACGTCCCTGTCTCCCATCCTTCGTGAGACAATAAAGGACGAGGATGAAGGCAGAAGCTGGAGGATTTCGGGATATTTTCGGCGCTAAAAATGTTGTTAACGAAACCGGTGTTCGTGATGAGGATGTGAAATGTGGTTATTTTGATTACAAAAAAAAAGTATTATATTTTTCTTTTTCTATTTTTATCGGTTCTTTTATTGACTCGTTTATCTTTTAAAGATGTTTTTATTTGTTTTAATTGTTTATTTTCAGTTATTTTTAATTGAATATACTTTTCATTATTTTTTTTTTACCTTTAGAATTACCGTTCATATTATTTGATATATTACATTTTTATTTTTAAATCTAATTTTAGTTATATACGAATCTTTGATAATTTTAATAATAATAATAATCGTATTAGCCGTAGTAGTGATAATGTTGAAATTGATTACATTAGTATAACAATATTAAAAATAATGATAATGATGATGGTGATAATGAGGATGACAATAATAATAACAATAATAATAATAGCGATACTAATAACATAAATACTAATAATAGTAGTAATGATAACAATAATAATGATGATGAGTATAATAATGATAATAACACAAAAAAAAATGTAGGTATGAGAGAGAGAGAAATAAATAAAGAGAGAGAGAGAGCAAGAGAGAGAGAGAGAGAGAGAGAGAGAGAGAGAGAGAGAGAGAGAGAGAGAGAGAGAGAGAGAGAGAGAGAGAGAGAGAGAGAGAGAGAGAGAGAGAGAGAGAGAGAGAGAGAGAGAGAGAGAAGGGGGGAAGGGGGGATATGTCTGCCACTTTTATTGATGTTTCCTGTTTATTTTGATTTACTTTGCATATATATTTTTAGATCAATTTTTGCTTCTGTTTTCATATAATTTCCTATCCTCTTATTGTCTTTTATTATTTTTACATATTGTTTTAATTAGCTGTTATTGTGACATACCCCACATACCATCGCCACATAAACCACATACCAGCACAACATAAACCACCAGTTCACACCACATAAGTCACATACCACCACCACATAATCCAAATACCACCAGCTCACACCAACGCCACATAAGTCACATACCACCACCACATAATCCACATACCAGCGCCACATAATCCACATACCAATACTGCATCCCCCCACCTAAACCACATACCACCACCACATAATCCACATACCAGCGCCACATAATCCACATACCAATACTGCATCCCCCCACATAAACCACATACCACCACCACCTACATACCCAACATACAAACACACCCCCACACTCCATACCCCTCAATTCAAAGCAACTCAACTAATATCTCTCTTCCTTTTTTTTCTCCCCCCCCTCCCCACCCCACCCTACCCTTTCCTCACCCCCAAAAAATCACAGATTCAGTCAATATGGTTTTAAATACCACCTCGAAACGCCCATTTCCACCTCACAACGAAGGGAAGACGACCGCATAACGTACATCAACAAGGGACAGTTCTATGGCATCACGATGGAATATATACCAGACCCGGAGAAGCCGCTCAAGTCAGGGACAGTGAAGGTAAGTGAAGATATTCCGTTTTCGTGTTTTATTTTGCTTCGTTTTATTTTTGTTGTTGTTATTTTTGTTGTTGTTATTATTTTTATTTCTTCTTTTTTTTTTGCTAGTTTTTGTTGTCGGGGATAACTTTTTTTTTTGGGGGGGGGGGCAAAATCTGTTCAGTTATTTTCTTTTCTTTTGGTATGGTGTTGCTTTTAAATTTCTTTTTTTTTTTTCCTTCTTTCTTTTTCTTCTTCTTTTTTTCTTGCATTCTTCTTTTGTTGTTGTTGGTCCTTGTCTTTTTATATATATATATATTTTTTTTTTTTACATTTTGAGGGAAGATAATTTTTTTCTCTTTTTTATCTCCCCCAATTTGTGGTTTCCACGTAAATTTCATGGAGGAAAATCTGATTTTTCTTATGGTTCAAAAAAATTTGGGGTAGGAAGGATTTAGTTTTTTTTATTTTATTATTGTTTTTTATATCATTCACATATACATTTATCTATCGATAGATTTCTCCGTTTATTTATTTGTATATCAATTTATTTACCTATTCATTTAATCTTATATTCATATATTTATTGTTTCATTGATTTGCATCCCTTTCTATTTATTTATCTTTTTTTATTTATATATATCAATTCATTTATCTCATAGTTATTAATCTATCTATTTATCTATCTATTTCTTCATTCATTTATTCGTTATTAAAGTGTAAAAAATGGTGAATTGAATGGGGGTGGGGGATGGGGGGTGGGGAGGAAAGGGGGGGAGGGAGGGGCCTGGTTGTGGAGAGGAGAAGATGGAGGGGGGGGTGTATGGAGAGGGATGGGGGGGTCTTGGTCGAAGAGGGGGGGAGTGGGTGAAGGGGGGGAGAGGGATGGGGAAGAGGTGGTGGGTTATGGAAAGGGTTTGGGGGGGGGAGGGGGGAGTTGAATGGGGGGGAAAGGGTGGAGGGGGGGGTTAAGGGAGGGATAGGGGGGTATAATATTGTGGTTGAGTGTAAGGAAAGTGTTACGGTTGTCTGTCTGTCTGTCTGTTTGTAAGACATGGCAGTGGGTTCATTTTCCGTGGTTGTCCAGATATTTATATATATATATTTTTATATATATATATATATTTTTTTTTTGTCTGTTTTGCTTATGTTTGTTTTTTGTTTTTTCCCGTGTTTCTGTCTATGTCTCTTGTTATCTCGTTTTTTTCCGTCTCTCGTCTCATGTTCTCTCTTTTTACCTATCTTCTCTCGTCTCTCTCTTTCTCTTCTCTTCCTATCCTCCCTTTTCTTTTCTTTACTCTTCTCTCTCTTTCTCTCTGTTTCAATCTCTCTCACTCTCTCTCTCTCTCTCTCCCCCCTCCCCCCTCCCCCCACCTCTTTCTCTGTCACACACACAATATCGCCCAAAATAAGCCTAACCTTCACGAAGCCTTGCAACACCAACCCTAATACTCCCCCTACCCCCCCCTACCCCCTCCTTTCCACCTCCCAACCATTCCCTTCGATTCCTTCCCACCCCGACCCCCCTCCTCCCCCACCCCCCACCTTCTCCTTTCAACCCCCACCGCTGTTATTCACTCTCCTCTTCCATCCCCTTCATCGCCTACCCCTTTCTTTTCCTCTCTCTATCCCCCTCTTTCCACCCCCAACTCCCCAATCACCCCTTCTATCCCCCACTCCCCAACACCCCCCTCTTTCACCCCCCCAACCTCACCCACATCTTTCAACCTTCCCCCCCACCCCCGATCCCCTCACACCCCCCTCTTTCACCTCCCCCAACCCCCCTACCCCCTCTTTCACCCCCTCCCCCACCCCCCCCCACCCCTCTTTCACCCCCTCCCCCCCTCCCCCTCTCTCTCTCTCTCAACCGCGGAAAGTCAAAGAGACGGGATAAAGTCATCGAGAATTTCCTGCGGGAGCGACTCTGCGGCAAAGTGCGGTCGGCTGCGGCAACGGCGGAGGCGGTGGTGATGATAACTACTGATTGAAGGGGGGGGGGGAGGGGGAGGGGGGAAAAAAGGGGTCCGTTATTCTAGTTTTTTTTATCATTATTTTATCGTATGGAAGGGGGAGTCAGTGGTGTGATTTGGTGTTTTTTTTTGCGGGGGGTAGGGGATGGAGTAGAGGAAGGGAGGGAGGGAAGGGGGGGGTAGGTATGCATTTGAGGGATATCGGTGTTTGTTTGTTTGCTTGTTTGATCTAGTTTGTTTTTTGGTGGAAAGTTATTCTCCTAGTTATTCGCTCTCTCTCTTTCACTGCCCTCTCTCCTTCCTTCCCACCCACCCCTTCCCACCCCTTCTTCCTATCTTCCCTCCCACTTTCCACCCTCCTTCCTCCTTCTCCTTCTCTCCTCCCTTCCCACCTTCCTTTCCACCTTCCTTCCTTCCCACCTTCCCTCCTCCTCCTCCTTCCCACCTCCCCTCCTCCTCCTTGCCACCTTCCCTCCTCCTCCTCCTCCCCTCCCACCTCCCCATCCCCTCCTCCCTACCCTCCCTTCCTCTCTCCCCTCCCTCCCTTCCCATCCCTCCTCCCTACCCTCCCTCCCTTCCCTCCCCACCTCCCTTCCTCCCTTCCTCCCCTCCCTCCCCCGGGCCAAGACTCTCTCGCCGCCTCTGCCTTCTCGCGTGTCACCCAAAGCTCCCACGGAGATCTGAGCCTCGCGGGAATTGCCAGGAAGGGAGTCTCATGCGGTGTGACAGGGGGGTGGGGGGGAGGGGGAGAGGCCAAAAAAAACCTGTGATTGAAACGAAACGAAGAAGAAGAAGAAGAAGAAGAAGGAAGGAAAAAAAATCTCTTTTTTTTCTTTTTTTGGTTTTGTTTTTTTTATTGATTTGTTTTGTTTTTTGTTTGTTTGTTTGTTTTTTGTTTGGTTTTTGTTTGTTTGTTTTGGTGTTTTCTTCCGGGGTTCGGAGTATGGTTTTTGGCTAGAGCGGAGTAGAGTGAGGGGAGGGGGGTGGTGATAGATTGGGGGTGAGAGTGTGTGTGTGGGGGGGGGGGAGAGGAGTGAAAGGGGGAGAAAAGGGGGAGAAGGAGTAGGAAAGGGGGGGGGGAGGTCAGAAGGAGGGAAAGGAGGGAGTGGAGTTATAGCCTTGCCTCGTTGGAGGTGGGGGGGATGGGGGAGGGGGAGGGAGGTGTGAGTGATAAGTGGAGTTGGAATTAGAAACAGGGGGGGGGGGAGGTGGTAAGGAGAGAAGGGAAGAGGTGGCTCCTATGTTGGCCAAATCTCAGCTGTGTGTGTGTGTACGTGTGTGTGTGTGTGTGTGTGTGTGTGTGTGTGTGTGTTTGTAAGTGTATGCATGTACGTGTGTGTGTGTGTGTGTGTGTGTGTAAGTGTATGCATGTACGTGTGTGTGTGTGTGTGTGTGTGTGTAAGTGTATGTATGTACGTGTGTGTGTGTGTGTATGTGTGTTTGTAAGTGTATGTATGTACGTGTGTGTATATATCTGCGTATGTGCCCTTATGACAGAGACGCTAAGGGGGTGTAGGGGGGGGGAGCACATTTCCTCAAATCAATCTGAAACATAAACCGCAGTGCATTCCCTGTTAAGATTTCACCCTAAGTATATGATTCACTCTTGGACAGGATATAATGGCTGACTAATAGAATACTTTCATCGTTCGTCCTTCCTCACATCCTTTCTCTCTCTCTCTCTATCTCTCTCTCTCTCTTTTTCTCTTTCACTCTCTCTTTATATATATATATATATATATATATATATATATATATATATATATATATATATATATATATATATATATATATATATATATATATATATGTATATATATATATATATACATATATATATATATATATATATATATATATATATATATATATATATATATATTTATATATATATTTATTAATTAATTTATTTATATATTTATACTCATATATACATTTTTTTCTTCTTCTTCTTTCTTTTTTTTTTCTTTTTCTTTTTTTTTTTTTTTCTTCCCTATCCCTTCCCATTAGTCCTTCATTAAAAATCCATTAATGCTATGATTCATTTTTTTTCTACTTTTTTTTTGTACTTTCCAATCGTGCTGTATTTCACGGCTGTCCATCTCATGCAAGATTTTTTTTTTTTTGTGGAAATATATATATATATATATATATATATATATATATATATATATATATATATATATATATATACATATATATTTGTTTATTTATATATATTTTTTTTTCTTCTTCTTCTTTCATTTTTTTTATAGAGACATTTTATTTCATTTCGTCTTGTATCTACGGATTTCTTTTTTTAGTTTTTGTTGTTCATTTCATATCATTTTAAACTAATTCTGAATATACATTCTCTAATGATTTTTTTCTTCATCATTTCCTCAATTTACATAAATATCTTTTATTTCATCATTTCACCCGACATGTCCAAACACATTATCCATTAACGCATGATCTCCGCATGACAGTCCTTTTCGGGGAAGGGAAAGGAAGGGCATTTGACATGGCCGCCCAACTATGCCTCTGGATTCCGACTTTCTCTTCACCCTTTTTGATTGAGTTTTATTGTCATTATTTCGTTACTTCGCCTTTCGTTTTGAGGTGTGTTCCGGTTTCTTTGTTTTTGTTCTCGTTCTTTTCTCTTATTTCTTCATATTCTTGTTATTCTTCTTGGTTTATATTCTTCTTCTACTTCGTTATACACACACACACACAAAAAAAAGTACGTATGCATGTATGTATGTAAGTATGTATGTATGTACATTTCTGCACATACAGTATTCGTACATAACTCTAATCCACGTCCTCAAATACGCACACGAGAGCTAGCAGACCGACAGACGAACACACGCATCCTCAACCTTTCGTACCCACGTCTACCTACGAGTACAGTACTCTCATCCTCGTATATCAGTCATACAATGACATTCATCTTCATTTTTCACACACACACACCCATACCTCCGTGCTCATAGACTCATTTTCCCATGTCTCTCCAATCTGTAGGGTTGTCTGTTTTTCTGTTTCTGTCTTTGTCACTGTCTTTGTCTGT